ACACACAGACAGACACACACACCCAACTAGGACTCGTTCTACAGGCTCTGGGAAAAGGGGAAAAAAGTCCTCAATCACCACCTCCTTTGCGCCGTTCTCCTCCCCCCAACCCCACCCCGCGGGCAGCCCAGGAGACCTGGAGGCGGGGGAGAGGGGAAGCGACGCAAGTGGGTAGCCTTTCAGCGCCACCGAGGCGCGGGAGGAGGAGAAGCGGCGGGGAGGCGCAGCCGCTCACCTGCGGGGCAGGACGCGGAGCAGGAATCCCGGCTGCGCACTCTCCCGCGGAGGAGCCGGGACGCGCCCGGAAACCTGAACGCGGCCCAGGAACGGGAGTCCGCCTCCCCTACCCGGCAGATCTAAAGGGGGCAGCTCTTTGCTTTGACTGAGCGGCCCCGAGGAGGTGTAGAGGACGGCGAGCAAGCGAGCCAGGCTGAGAAACTCGAGACGGGAACAAAGGGGTCGGGCTCTGTGCGTGTGTGTGTGTGTGCGTGCGCGCGCGCGCGCGTGTCTGTCGGCTCGAGCTCCCCGCAGAAGCATTTCGGTCTGAGGCCCCTGCTGTGACTCTCCGAGACCCTGCCGTGCCCTCCGCCACCGACGCCCAGCGCTCGCCGGCACAAACTTTATTACCCAGACTTCTTTCTCCTCTCCTCGTCCTCCGCCCCCGCCTCCTCCTGCTCCTCGTCCTCCAGCAGATTAAATGCTCTTGGAGAAGAAAAACCAAAGAGAAAGGGAAGGAAATAAGCAGCTATAAAACGGACATCTCCAACCTGGGTGGCATTTTTTTTTTTAACCTTCCAGGAAGTGGACATTTCGTTATCTTCTGTTCTCCAGGTACCTTCACCCTTGGGGCAAACGGAGCCTTTTTGCCCAGCTCCCCATTTTTTCGGAAAACAAACTCGCAAATCGGCAGCCAGGGCACCTAAAGTGGAGAGTTTGCGTAGAGACGCGCGGACGGACCCTCCTCTGCAGTTTAGTTTTGCCTCCTCTAGAACTGACGTCCTCCGCGCGCAGACCAGGGAGACACTGGGGGCGTGTGGTGGCCGCCCTGGCAGCCTAGCCTAGTGCGCGCCACGCCGCGCAGACGCCCCAAGAGGCGCCGGCTGCGGCGGCCCTCGCAGCCTGGTGCCCTTCGGCCTCCGGGGCGGGCGCCGGCATCTGTCTCCACGGAGCGGGAAGGCACGGGGTGCCGCCGGGGCTCGGGCGCCGCCGCAGCAGCGCCGGCTGCCGGCCCCACTTCCGTCCGCTGTCCTCCCTCACGCAACCTCCCAGTTCCCTTCTTCTCCCCTCTTTCGTTGACCCCCCCTCTTTCCTGCTGTCGCTTCGGGTGCTCCCCCAGCGGAGCGGAGATTACAGAGTGATCGGGATGCCCCAACTCTCCGGGGCAGGCGGCGGGGGCGGGGGGGACCCGGAACTCTGCGCCACGGACGAGATGATCCCTTTCAAGGACGAGGGCGATCCACAGAAGGAGAAGATCTTCGCCGAGATCAGCCACCCCGAAGAGGAAGGCGACTTAGCCGACATCAAGTCCTCCTTGGTTAACGAGTCCGAAATCATACCAGCCAGCAACGGACACGAGGTGAGTGGGCCGCTGCTTCGAGCTCCGGGAGGCGTGGCGGGTCCCGGGAAAGGGCAGAGAGGGAGAGGGAAGGTGCCGGCGGTTCCGGCTGACTGGTCCCGAGGAGGCCCCCCTTTTGCTGGGGGAGTGTGGTGGCGGAGGGCCTGGAGGGTGGCGTGTGTTTCCCTGCTCATCATTCTTCCTTTGTGAGTGTGTTTCTGTGTCGGATGGGAGGTGGAGGAGGGTGCGGGAAAGTTTATTCCAAGTGGATAAATTTCGGCCTTCGGTGGCTGAGACAGCTTTGCGGGCAGGAGAAGCTGCTTGTAATCCATAACGTTAGGGCGGTTGAGGGCACGAAGCATTAAAGCTAGGATGTCTGAGCAACAACTACTGAGAAGTTCTTCCGTAGGACTGAAAACAAACTACACCCACTATCTCTTTCGGTAGATGTCTGCAAAAGTGCGTTAAACCACCAAACGGCTTAGGTAGAGGCAAGCAGAGCCACAGGCAGAGAGAAAGAGGAGGCGAGCGTGGGCCGGGAACCGGAGGGGCAGTCCCAACCGCTGCAGAACCGGGCTCATGCGGAGCAGGCGGCCGAGGGGGCGCGCTCCTGGCTGCGGGGGCGGTGCGGGGCCAGGTCTGTGCTGCTGGCGGAGTCACAGCGCCGGGGCTGGCTGCTGGGAGCCGTGGGCGCATAAAGCCCAGCCGCCCGAGGGCGGGTGGGGGGGGGCGCAGTACCGCCTGCAACACAAGTTTTTTGCAACCCTCGTCACTTAAAGAAAAAATAAAGCGCCTATGTTTGGGCCAGATCAGGTCTTAAATCTATGCAGAAGAAAGGCGAGTCAGAGTAGGGATGCGGCGGAAGTCAGGGCACCCACTCAGCGGAGTGTGGAAAGGGCTTTATCAGATCTCCGGGCCTGCTGCGGGCGATAGGGCTGGTAACCCGAGTAGAGTAAATAGAGACACGTGGGTGCCGGCTAGAGAAAGCGGTGAGGGGGACCGCGCGAAAGGGCTATTTCAGGCCGCGCGGAGAGCTGGGAGGGCGGATGGCCCCTGATATCTGACACTCCACTGGCCACCCTTGTTCAACAACTGGGAAACGCTTTGGAGGAGGAAATCCGGTAGAAAAGTCCTGACATTTAAATGATTTCACCAACGCTTTTTCCCTCCAAAGAAACTTGGAAGATATACCCGTTT